TGGCAAAGGAAATTCCTCCTTGAAGATTGTCATTAATCTTTCTGAAAAACGTTTGCTGCTGAAGCTTGGCTACTTTTACAGCACCAAACCTCGCAATGCTCCTCTCAAAATAGAAATTGAGATGAAGGTTGATATGCAAAAAAAAAAAAAAAAAAAAACAACCCCCCCCCCTCCCCCGAGGAAAAAATGGCAAAGACCCATGTTCAACTCAGTTGTGGAAGCCAAAGGGGGAAAAAAGGCATTCTGCAAAGCTTATTTTGGGGGGTGCTTTTTAAAAAGTGTTTCATCTATGGAGTAACTCTAAGATTTTCTTGGTTTTGTTCTTAGCTCGTGAAAGGATAGCTGTTTTCATCTCGTTCTTGCCTCTGATGATGGGAAACAGAGTTGTTGATTCACTCTGGCACCAAAGTTACTTCTGCACCAAACCGTAGCATGCTTGGGTTGTTTTGGGTTGAAATTGGCATGTTGGATTTGAAAACATAGTTTAAGATTTAGTGTTGAATCAATCCACTGGGGATTAATCAACAAATCAAGACTAAGCATGGTTTTACCTGGTGTACAAACACAACTGCTGTTTGTGCTACTATTGCAATAAAGTAATCTTTCCAAAGATTATAAATCAGTAAATGCTTTCCATTCCCTCTGCCCTAAGATCAGTTCCTACCTCGCCATGTAGGTTGCTTGGCCAGTCCATCAGTAAAAGAGAGTCGTGGCTTTATTTAAAGCTGATGAATCAAACAAATATATTTCTTGCCAGATGAGGGTTGGCTTGGTAACATCACCTGTAATAAGAGCCGGCTGTATGTATTTTTATATATATTTGAAAAAAGTAGAGCAGGTTGTTAAAAAAAAATTGGCCGGCTAATATTTGGGGCTCATTTATTTTTAGAACAAATTAAATATGTTAAAGGGGGAAAACAGCAGCCACCATGAGCCGGGATAATGTTTCAGCCTCACAAATATTATCAGCCTCACATATATTATCCGCCTCCAGACAGTGATGGGGGGAAAATATCAACCTGAACTGAATTCACACGCTGTACAAAGATGTGGTGTGGTTGTCATCGTTGCTGGCTTTGCATGTATGAACTCACACACTTGTGGTTTGTTCAGCTGACCAGATGCAGAGTTTAGCACAATGCGAAGAATCTGTGCAGTGCTTATGTTTAGCTGAAAGGTTAATCTATAACATGGTACAAAGTGCTGTGTTTATCTCCACGGCTGGTGTGGGTATAGCTATTATGATTTCTGAACCAGAGTTTGTGGATTAGAGATTGGTGCAAATGTAGTTACTTGTGCATAGCTACTAGTATGGTTTTCCCAGGTGCAATGTATGGCTGTGAAAGTTGGACCATATGGGGACCTAGACATTGGTTAGAAATACAGATAGCCCTTGACTTACAATCATTTATTTACTCACCATTCAAAGTTAACAATGGCCCTGAAAAAAATGTGTCTTATGAGCAGTTTTCACACTTGCAACCGTTACAGCATCCCTATGGTCATGTGATCAAAATGCAGATGCTTGACAACTGGCATGTACTTATGACAGATGCAGTATCCCTCGGGTTCGTGGAGACCTTTTGCAACCTTCTGGCAAGCAAAGTTCACTTAACAACTGTGGCAAGAAAGGTAGTAACATGGAGCAAAACTCATTTAACAACTGCCTTGCTTAACGGTCAAAATTTGGTCGTAAGTCGAGTATACAATCTGCTTCCTGGCATGGCTGAGAATCCTGAAGCCCCTCCATCCCAGTTAATGCTATAGCTGGTGACCGTCATGTCATGCTTGTTTCCTACCTGAGCAATTTCATTCATTCCAGTGGAATTTATCATGTTGATAAAACAGACTGATGGTGTGAAGAAGAATGAGGAGCCTGCATGTGTTTACCTGCTAATTTGAAATAGCACATGGTGGCCTAAAGCCACAGATATCTGAAACTCTTTATTTCTCACCCTCTTTTCCTGGCACGTATTCTTCCCTTCTGACATTCTGAGCGTGCAGGTCAGCAGTGATCCCATCTGATTCCTTCAGACTCTTTCATTAAGAATGTCAGCGCACAACGGCGGAGGCTGTTATCAGGTAGCTGCAGGAAAAATAAAATAAAAAGCAATCGGAAAAGGACAGGCCAGCATTTTGCACTGAAGGAGAAACGTTCACAAATCCCAACAGATTCGGCCTCTGTTAGCCCATTTAATATGCCTGGATGTATCAAACCAATCTTGGTTAGTCTTGGCCCAACACTGGAGATTTTTAAGAAGAAAGTGGACAATCGTCTAGGGTGGGGATGACTGAAAATTGAAATGGTCTAGGGCAGGGGTGTCAAACTCAAGGCCCGTGGGCCAGATCTGGCTTGTGGGGTGCTTAGATCTGACCCATGGGGCCACCCTGGAAACAGAGAGGGACTGGCCTGTGGTGCCTTTGCCAGAAAAAATGGAGTTCAGCAGGGCTGCAAGAGGCCATCACAGCTGGAAACAGAGCTCGGGAGGCCATTTTCATTGCTTGGGCAGCCACAGGCACCCCTGACACAAGTGATATCGAGCTGGCCCTGCTACCCACCCCCGCTCCCCTGAGATCAAACACAAACCTGATGTGGCCCTTAATGAAATCGAGCTTGACACCCCTGGTCTACAGTTTCCTATTTGAGCAGGGAGGTTGGACTACAAGACCTCCAAGTTCCCTTCCAACCCTGTGACTCTGTTGTTCTGCATCAGTATTTTAGTTCAAGAACCTGACAACAAGAGCAAACTATCCGTTGTATATTGAGACTGGTCATAGTATGGATATAGGCATCAGGAAGTTATCAGAGACCCAGAGACACCAGAATTCAAGCATCAGCCTAAATTATACTGTGGTTAAGCACAATGTGTGAATCCACCAGTGTGTGAATTGGCTTGTCAATTGCTGATGCCCAAAGCTGAGGTATATGGCTTAACATGATGTGAGAACCTCGCAATTGTCTCTTAGCCTACATGGGGCAAGTAACTGAGCCCGCTTCCTGGAGATAAGTGGGAAATGCGTGCTTGACAATTAGACAATTTAAAAAAACTGTAAAAACTCAACCCACGTCCTGATGGGAACCAGAAGGATTTCCTCATAAAGTCCAGATGTTACTGGATTTTTAACTCCTACCAGTTCCAACCAACCTAACCCCATGATCAGGGATGGAGAATCCAGCAATACTGTAGTCCCGATGGTTGTGATGACTGAAGCTGGTGGGATGTTGTCCATTCATATCAAGCACAAGAGATCAAGAGTCTATGCAGTTCAAATGAATGTATGGGTTTATTGCATGCTAAAGCTGTACAAGAATCCGAATTACTAATGGTCAAAGTATATTGGCGGTAGATAAGGGTCAAAGGAATTCAAGATGGGCTGGCCTTAAGATCTCTTAAGGTCATGAAGCTACTCGAGACTGATGATGCATTTGATTCCTCCCTCGGGCTCAGCCTGGTTATCACATACAATTCACCTACAGACTCTAAAGATTTATCTGGCAATATACATTTGAAACAGACTTATATTAAAATAATAATGTTGCTAATCAATAATAATGATAATCATAATAGTAATATAGTTTTTGCTTATACATAATAATAATCAACCATAATAATATATTGTTTACTTGTGCATAATATTAATTGTTCATCATTTTCTTATACATATTGGTAATCTTTTTTATTTTCTAATCTCTACTTCTATTATCTAACCACTGATAAAACAAGTCCCATGTTAAAAAATATTCTGTTTCTTCCTTGTCCTTTATTTTTAATGTCAATTTATCCATCTCTGCACAATCTAATATATTTTTAATTATATTCTCATCTTTGGGGGTATCCTCATTCTTCCAGTATCGTGCAAATACAATTCTCACTGCTGTCAACACATGTAGTATTAAATATATATTCCCTTTATTATAATTTTCTGGTATTACACTTAACAAAAATATTTCTGGTTTTAAGTCCATATGATGCTTTACCATTTTTTCTAGCCACGTATGTATTTTTATCCCAATTTTTTTTTTGCTTTTGAGCGTGTCCACCACATGGGATAGTAAGAGCCTGGTATCTGATTGCATTTCCAAAAGTGAGTCAGACAATACACTGTTCTAATAAGTACTTACGTTGATTAAAGAAAAAAATGTATAAATAAAATATACAAAACTGGATGTTTTGTAAGTTCTCGTCAACCAGAAATTGGTATGTCTAGTCTGATGAAAAGAAGGACTAGGGGAGACATGGTAGCAGTGTTCCAATATCTCAGGCGCTGCCACAAAGAAGAGAGAGTCAAGCTATTCTCCATAGCACCTGAAGGGCAGGACAAGAAGCAATGGATGGAAACCAGAGGTGGTATTCAGCAGGTTCTGACTAATTCTGGAAAACTGATAGCAGAAATTTTGAATAGTTCGGCGAACCAGCAAATCCCACCTCTGACTGGAGATTTTACAGTATCCTTCCCCTGCCACGCCCACCAATCCACGCCCACAGAAACCGATAGTAAAAAAATATTGAATCCCACCACTGATGGAAAGCAATCAAGGAGAGAAGCAACTTAGAACTAAGGAGAAATTTCCTGACAGTCAGAACAATTAATCAGTAGAACTCCAGAAGTTTTAAATGCTCCGACATTGGAAGTTTTTAAGAAGAGATTGGATAACCATTTATTTATTGATTTGATTTGATTTGTCAATCGCTTACAAGATAATAGGATTAGGGTTAGGGTTAATAGATTATACAATAGATTTTTTTTTTGCCTCAAGTATAAACATGAGTAAGAATACAGGAAATAGGGATGAATAAATGGGGACAAAAGGACAAGGATGGTAGGCACAATTGTGCACTTATGCACGTCCCTTGTCTGAAGTGGTGTCGGGTTTCCTGCCTAAGCAGGGGGTTGGACTAGAAGACCTCCAAGGTCTTTTCCAACTCAACTCTTCCCTTCCCTTCCCTTCCCTTCTCTTCTCTTCTCACCGGGTCCCTTTCTGTCTCATTGTTACACAGAGATCCGGCTGAACCGTAGCAGCTTCCTCAGCGAGATTACTCACTACGCAGAAACCAGCCGAGACATTATTATGCTGGATTCGTCCGTGCTTGTGGCTGGGGTAGTCATTGGCGTAGTCCTCTTTCTATCCTGTGTGGCCATCCTGATTGGCAGTCTGCGAAAGAATCATTGCTTTCGACATCTGCAGTTGTGGAGCGATGCCAGCTACAGTAAGAGCGTCTTCTTTATATTTTTTTCTTTCTAACAGTACCCTCAAAATTAGGAATTAGAAAAAGGTAGTCCTTGACTTACAAACATTTGTTTAGTGATCATTCAAAGTCGCAACGGCATTGAAGAAAAGTGCCTTGTGGTCATGTGATCAAAATTCACCCGTTTGGCCACTGATTCATATTTGTGACGGTTGGCATGTCCTGGGGTTTGTCATCACCTTTTGCGACCTTCTGACAAACGAAGTCAATGGAAAAGCCAGATCCACTCAACAACCATGTAACTAACTTATTGTTCTGACCCAGGCTTCACAAAAATCACGAAGCCGCCTCCTCGTCCTCACAAAACCCCTTTTTATTAGTCTAATGTGAATTCCTCTCATTCACATCCAGCAAAATCCCAGCAAACAGTCTTTCAAGAGTGATTGACAACCACAGAGTTGGAGAGTTGCATTGGAGAGTTGCCAGGCCGATAGCTTTCAACCACAACGCTGTAGCAGAAAATACTTGGCAAGGAGTCAAGAATCAAATCTTCACACTAATTAAATGAACTAATTGTCTTCTGCAAACTCCACTCCCCTTTTGCTCCTTTTTATTCCCTATGGGAGGGGCCATTCACTGTCCATCTGTGCCTTTACTTGAAAATCAACCCTTGTTCCTTAACTGTTCCCTTCCCCCTGCAGCTCTACGCATGCGCACATTGGGAACAGGCTCCAACTATTCTTCTGCCCCAGTGATCTCTGACTCCAAAGGCAGCTGATAACTGTCTGATGGCCCTAGTCCCATCTCTGCCTCCAACGCAGAGCACTCCTCAGAGCCTTCCCCAGACTCCAGGACTGGCCCATGTTCCGCCCCAACCTCCTCACTCCAAGTCTGCCGCCAGCTCCACTGGCTGCTAGCCGGTCATAATTCTTAACAACGGCAGTGATTGACTTAATCACTGACAAGGAAGATCATAAAACGGAGCAAAACTCCCTTAACTGTCTTGTTTAGCAATGGAAATGTGGGGGCTCAACACTAGTCATAACTCAAGGACTATCGGTAATATGAGAGGTAAATATTTCCAACCTTTCTTTCTATAGCCCTGACTTCATCCTAAAAGCTGCATTCCTGGACACATCCTAAATATTCATGATTTAGGATTTCCAAGGCTCTTTGTCTCCAATCCACCTTTTGGAATTGTGCTAATATTACTTTTCTTTTCCCCAGCTCCAGACTGTTTTTCCTATGGTGGCTCCGTCGGAGAGCTAAGATCCAGCTGCGCTGAAGAATTCCCACCAACATTTTACTTTAGCTCTTACATGGAGGCACTTTCCCAGGCCAACATCATACATCCAGACTCGCCACCACGGTAAACCTCTTTTAATTGTTTGATTATTCTTTTAAAAGAGATTTTAAAAGGTAAAGGTTTCCCCTGCCTAGTCACATCTGACTCTAGGAGGTGGTGCTCATCTCTTGTTTCCTAGCCGAGGGAGCCAGCATTTTCTGAAGACATCTGCATGGTCATGTGGCCATCACAGCCAAGGCGCATGAATCATTGGTAAAGGGATCTGTTCCCCTTGCACATACAGGCTAGTCGTTTCTGGCTCTAGGGGGCGGTGCTCATCTCCGTTACAAAGCCGAAGAGCCAGCGCTGTCCGAAGACGTCTCCATGGTCATGTAGTCGGCATTGCTAAATGCCAAAGGCACATGGAACGCTGTTACCTTCCCACCGAAATGGTCCCTATTTTTCTACTTGCATTTTTACATGCTTTCAAACTGCTAGGTTGGCAGAAGCTGGGACAAGTAACGGGAGCTCACTCCATTATGCGGGGCTAGGGATTCGAACTGCCAAACCGCCGACCTTTCTGATCGACAAGCTCAGCGTCTTAGTCACTGAGCCACCATTATCACTGTTACCTTCCCACTAAAATGGTATCAGTTTAATCCACTCACATTTACATGCTTTCAAACTGCTAAGTTCCTATTAATTGCTGGTGGTCAGTTTAATGACCCTAACTCCTAAATTCATGTCTAACATTTGTTTAATGTAACTCAGAGTTTGACAATGGCTATTAACTCCATTTGCAAATCCCAACTTAACTTGGTTACTTCATCAAGCCACGTTCTGGGTTCCCAAAGTACACTGAATTGTCAATTAGCCAAACGATAGATTCACACAATTCTGCTGCTTGAAAAGGAAGATAAAACCTAATCCAGATTTGTAAGCGGTACAAAAGCAATTATTGGACATTTGACTGAAATTGTAAATGATGTTAGATAGAATTATTGGGCATCATTGCAAAAAACAGCTGAAGCTTCTTGATTTAAGGAATTGCGTTAAGAACAGCTGTATACTAAAACCATTGGCCCATATATCTCAAGTGCCTTTTGGTCTTTGAACTCTTCCTGTTGTTGTGTGCCTTCTCTGAACAATTTCATCAAAAATTGTAAGAAGTGTACAAGAATCAGCAGCTTGATTTCCTATCAATTTCCAGATATAACACATACAAACTGAAATGAAGAATAAAAAGTGTAGATGCATATTGTAAGTTGCCAAGAGCTCCTACTGTGAGATAGATGACTATATTAACCAAATAAGTAAACACTGCATACTTTATCTACTACTTTGATGACTTCTTGTGATCTATCCACATTTCTGAGATTCTAAGGTACAAAAGACCATCAGTCTGTCGGAGATGGAAGACTTACTTATCACAGTCAGAGAAAAATGATTTGCAAGCCCTGTTTTCAAAAAAGAAACGGAGGGACATCTGGTTTCTCACTGATAAAAGAGGAACCTTTTGCAGCACAAGCATAAGAACAAGGCCTTAAGGGATTGCAACAAGATTCCATAAATAGGGTTTGATTGTGCAAAACCACAGCATTGGGAATGGAGCTGAGATGTTGGGTGAGACTGTCATTGTTTATTTGTGCAACATTTTGATTAGCCAGGTATAATATGGTATATTACAATCCACTGATATATGATTGGATGGCCATTTTGGATAGATATATATTTCCTCATCATGGCTTTCTAACTTCCCTTCAGTTAAATCTGTCTATCTCTATAAATATGTGTCTATCGATAAATGGATGGATGGATGGACAGTCTGTCTGTCTGTCCATCAATTTATCGATCTATACATCTATCTATCTAACATCTGTCTATCTACCTATATATGTATATATCTGTTTGACTCTTATCATCCATCTATTTGTCTTGCCTGTCCGTCCGTCCATCTATTTATCAATCTATATATCTAACATCTATCTATCTATCTCTATAAATACGTGTCTATGTATGACTATCATCCATCTGTCTGTCTGTCCTTCCGTTCATCCATCTATTTATCAATCTATAGATCTATCTATCTAACATCTGTCTATCTACCTATATATGTATCTATTTGACTCTTATCATCTATCTGTCCTGCCTGTCCATCTGACCATCTATTTATTGATCTATATATCTATCTAACATCCATGTATCTATCTCTATAAATATGTGTCTATGTATGACTATCATCCATCTGTCTGTCTGTCCTTCCATCTATTTATCAATCTATAGATCTATCTATCTAGCATCTATCTATCTATATCTATATGTATGTGTCTATGTATGACTCTATCATCCACCTGTCCATCCATCCATCCATCCATCCATCCACCTATTTCTCTATCTTCTCTTCTTGGGATTCTTAAGGCTTGTCTTCATTAGAGCCAGTCCTGCCTGCAGCTTGAAGGCTGGCAGGAGGAGCTTGGTCAATCCCCCTTTCTCTTCACATTCCCTGGCGTAGAGGTGAGGGTGCCTTGTTTCTTCTCAGGTACTTTTTATTTAAGCAGGACTTCGTTCCGGCAATTTGTAGAGTCTACTATGCTGTTCTCAAGGGGTGGAAACATACAGATTTTCTCCCACTGACTTAATTACAGGAAGAAAATTCAACTCCTGGCGAGAGGCCCAAAAAAAATCAGGGCTTTTTACAACCTTTCTCTTCCTGCAGCCTAAGTGGGAAGCTGGCCATCTGCTTAACTGATAAGAGTATCTGGAAAGCACAGCTTTTGTTTCCACCAGCTGGCATTTTTGTCCTCCAGGCAAGGTTGCCAACTGCCAGCTCCAGTAATCTTCCAGGTTTCAGCCTTTCTCACCCTCTTCTCCCAAACCTCCCCCTTCTTGACTTCCCCATTCATTGTGGGGTAGCGATGAATCCTTGGTTTTGCATCCACCTTTTCCAGTTGCTAAGCATTTCGTGTTGAGTTACCGAAAGTTTAGCACCTCCCTTTAATTGCAGTGTTTTTCCACTGCAGTATTCAATACCATTGGATCCAAGTCCCGTGTATTGAATACTTTGATATATTGCAGTTCTCTAGAGCTTCAGACTGGACTTCAAGCCAGCGGTAGATCTTAAGAGATAAAAACCTGCTATCCGTGGTGGGAATTTGAATCAATCAGTTCTCTTCAAATCCCCCTGCGTTTACTTTGGTATCCTCCATGCTGTAAGGGGCACAATGGTTCAGTGGTTAGAGATGTTGAGCTTGTCAGTTGGAAAGCTGACAGCCTGGGTTTGAGACCTGAGGGCCACGCAGAACAGAACAGAATAACCAAGTTAGAAGGACGTTGGAGGTCTTCTAGTTCAGGGGTCTCCAACTTTTTGGACCTCAGGTCCACCAAACACATAATTTTAAATGCCACGGACCAGAGACCCTTGGAAAATCCCAAGAAAAAGTCTGCAGGAAAATTCCCCACCCTGTTTTCCTACCGATTGATCATTCTTTATTTGGGATCGCCATCTTCAGCTCCATTCTCAAGGGTACAGAGAGAGAGAGAGAAAGAGAGACTTTTGGCTTCATGCAAGGAAAGCAGCTGAAGCAGCAGAAGTCTTTCTTTCTCCCCTCCAAACTCCACCAGAAATTAGTCTTTGCCAGTGCAGCCTCTTGAAGCAGGATGTCTTGCAGAGTCCCAAAGATTCATTTCTGGCGGAGTTTGGGGGAGAGAAAGACAGACTTTTGCTGCGTTTGCTCTTGCGTGCAGCCAAAAGCAGAAGAAGAAAAAAGTGGAAAGAAGCAGCCTGGTGGCCAGGCCAGGTGCGTGGGTTGAGTGGGGCAAGTTCCCCCCCTCCCCTCACTACCTCATATTGTTCGCGATGCAAGCGACACAAACCTTGTGTTCCCACAGGCCATATGGGCAGCACAGCCTTGTGTTCCTGCACAGCCTGGATTGTTTTGGGGGGGTGCTTTGGGGGTGACATTTCTCTGCGGACCACCAAAATTTTCTTGCAGATCACCAGTGGTCCCCGGCCCACTGGTTGGTGACCACTGTTCTAGTTCAATCCCCTTCTCAGGCAGGAAATCCTAGACCATTTCAGACATGTGGTTGTCCAATCTCTTCTTAAAAACTTCCAGTGTTGGAGCATTCACAACTTCTGGAGGCAAGTTGTTCCACTGGTTAATTGTTCTAACTGTCAGGAAATTTCTCCTTAGTTCTTGGTTGTTTCTCTCCTTGATCAATTTCCACCCGTTGCTTCTTGTCCTGCCCTCAGGTGCTGTGGAGAATAGCTTGGCTCCCTCTTCTTTGGGGCAGCCCCTGAGATATTGGAACACTAATGGATATTGGAACATATTGGGACACAGGTGGTGGAGTAAGCTCCCATGACTTGCCTCAGCTCCTGTCCAGCTAGCAGTTCCAAAGCATGAGAATAGATAAATAAGAACCACTTTGGTGAGAAGGTAACAGCATTTTGTGAGCCTTTGGCATATAACCATGCTGGACACATGACCACAGAAATGTCTTTGGAGCAATGCTGGCTCCCTTGGCTAAGGAACAGAGATGAACATCTCCCACTAGAGTCAGATACAACTGGACAGGGGACACCTGCTACCTTTACCCTTCATGTTGAGCTGACGTCAGTGCAAAAGTAAATCCCACTGAGATCCAAGAGGCTTACTCCAAGTTCATGGGTTACAAAACCATGTGACTGAATGAGTTACAATGACCCCTTTGTGGCTTGCAGAAGTCTGAAGAAGACTCCCTATGATAGATGCCAGGTTGTTGTTTTTCCTCTGGGTAACCATGTCAGGATAGCAAATGTTCTCATTGGTTTTGCTCTGTCCTAGCCCCAGGTTAAGAAGTGTGAAAATTTTTTAATACCATTGGAAGATTGTTGAGGGTTTTTTTGCTCGACTGAACCATAACCAGTACTTGAAATGGAACTGTATGTAATAGGGAGATGGAAAGCATAGGTAGATTTTTAAATGTTTTGTCCAGAATCAAATCCAAATTGAAGATCTTGCCATACACATGCCCGATAAAAGTTTGTACTGGGTGAAAGGGGCTTTCTGGAATTCTGGGGTTAGCATCCCTGTCATCTGGAGGGCA